GGGAAAGAAGGAGGGAGGGTTCTGGTGGCTTCTGATGTCGGGAGGAGGTGAAGTGCCTCGTGATGACAAAAGTTGTAATGTCAGTAAATTCATCCAAACTCAGTGTCGTCACAATCATCACTATCATAACCAGTAATAGTGTCATCATCATCATCATCATCATCATCATCATCATCATCATCATCATCATCATCATCATCATCTCAGTACATGATAATAAAGGTCTTCCGCATCCATTGTTATTTTACAACCTAACCTAACCTAACCTAACCTAACCTAACTGAGAGACCGAGATTGCTGTTGTTGTTGTTTTGTCCTAATATTTTTTTTCATATCTTTTTTGGACTGGAGCCTTAATTACCATATACCAATGAATGTGTTTATTATCATTATTATTATTATTATTATTATTATTATTATTATTATTATTATTATTATTATTATTATTATCATTATTATTATTATTACCATACCGTAACTAATGGACGCTGCATCACCTTTATCATAATATATCCTTCATGGGTTGTCACTGATGTGGGTCACTGTATAATATAGCAGTTTATAACGTATAGAAGAACCATCAGGCAACGATCACCTCCCCCATGTGTCAGGCTTTGCTGTGATGGCGTCATAATTCACCCTAGACTCGACACCGCCTCTGCCTCCCAACACTCAATTTTTTTTCAACATTCTTATCTTTCAGTTGAGAGTTTAGTTGGTGACTGTGTGTGTGTGTGTCTTAAGCTGGCACTATACTTTAGCAAAAACTTTCCTAAGCTTAAACAGTACTCTAAGCTGAAACTAAAAAGCTGAAGGTTACGCTGACACCGTAAAATGCTCCACCCACCCACTGACTAAAATCACATTACAAGGAAGAGGAGAATTATTGTTTGAGTCAGCTATTGGTAAAATTGTGGTCAGGGTGGTGTGGTGGCTGGTCTGTCACGCTCCACACTGGAATAATAAGGGTGGTGAGGAATAGATGGTGTGTGTGTGTGTGTGTGTGTGTGTGTGTGTGTGTGCGCGCGCTTCTGTCCTTCTCTCTGTCTTTGGAAAAGTATTAGAACTTGTGAACATAACTGAATCTACAGGAAAAGTGCATCTATTTGCTGACACATCTACTTACTAACGTATCTCTTTGCTGACGCACCTGCTCGCTTTATCTCACATCTGCCTTGAGAAATTGCTGACACGTTTGCCTATATGAAAGTCTGGTAAACTATCAATCTCCTGACAAATTATCTACTGACGGCCAATCTAGTCTCACTCACACCCCGTATACTATATGTGTGACGGTGCACCTGCCTACAAACACAGGTATCTGCTGAGCCTGCGGGTTGAGTATACTGCTTGAGGGAACATGAAGTGATGTGCAGAGTCCCAGGTCTGCTTCACGCTGCATTAACCACTTTACAGTAATACTGCTGAGATGAACAGAGTCTAGAGGTGTGATTACTTATCTGTGACACCCCGGGCCGGTGAAATGTGTGTTTGATACGTTTTAGGGATAATTACAACATGGCGATAATTTCAATATATACATCTAAACGAAATACAAAATATAAGTAAATATCCTGAACGCTAATCTAACTTAAACACACACACACACACACACACACACACACACACACACACACACACACACACACACACACACACATACCCCCACACACACATAGATGATTACAAGGAATTACAAACACCATAAGATTCAAGCTTATTACCATCGCGAGGGACAGAGGGATGGAGTATAAAGGCAAAAATGCATCGTATAAGTAATATGATAAAAAACAAGGGTGGTGGTGGGAGGGTGGGTGGGAGGGGGGAGTGGGGTTGATCATGTGGTAAGACGAGGCGATCAAAGGCGTCTGGAATGAGCTGATCAGAGAGGAAAGATCAAGAGAGCGACGGAGGATGAGGTAGAGGGATGTGGTTGAGTGAGACACGCAGAAAATTAGGGTGAGAGTGACGGTGGTTGGCGACAGGGTAATGTGATATAGATGGACCCGAGTAGGTGAAGCCTAACCATTGGACATAACTGAAGGAATACTACTACTACTACTACTACTACTACGTGGCCTCCAGCCTCCCCCAATAGCCACACCTTCGCCACCATTTAATTACCTTAATATTAAATATCCTAATACATAAGTAGCTATCCTATCTGTGTTAAGTTAGTTGAGACGCAGATCTATGAGGCATTCAGTGACAGTAGCCTCATAGTCAATATCTGCGGCAGTTGTCGGAGTTGGGGCAGAAGCTCTCGTTCCCCTGAGGCAGAGCAAAGCCGACCGAAGGAGAGAGAAAGACAGTCGACATCTCATCCAGGCTGTAACATAACTTCTGGGCTGCTGCTTCTGTTTGGAGATCACCTCCGCGAGTCTGGCGTAGAAACATCTTGCACTTGGTCCCATCCCACCAGATTTCGTGAACACTAGAGGAGTGAAGCTGCCTTGATCAACGTTTTGAATTCTCTCCCCATATGCCCTTCTCTTGTCGTTCTCGTTCCTCTTATGTGCAGCATCGAGAGCTTCAATATAAAGGTATTTGTTCATGTTTCCCAACGTAGGGAACGAACTTATGGAAAATCTCTCCATTTTGGATAAGCTAAAACCATTTCAAAATTGAGAATATTTCGTTTAATTCCAAACCAGTATCTCATGTAAAAATTTGACTTCGAATTCTCACATGGATCCTCTGAATGATTTTAAATCCGAGGGTAAAGTTTCTTTGACCTCTGAGAATGAACTCTATACTTTCATTCCTGGTAGCGACCTGACAGGTTCTAAAGTGGCACCAAAACTTGATGTAACTCAAATTCCTTCGAATAAAAGTCTCACGGTTATAGAAGACCAGCGTCATCCAAATGCGCTCCTGTTGTACATGTGCAGTCACTCATGCATCAACTCCGACTGTGGTTGCTTCACCACTGGATACGTTTGATCTTCCCAACCAAATCATGTTAAAAGAAAACTTAATAGATATTCAAAGTTAAGATACTTACCTCTCCATGGGAGTGAGGAGGTTGAGTGGATTCTGCGCTCACCTCCTGTTCCATGGAGTGGTTCGATCCCGGGCACTCCCAGTTCAACCATCTGTAAATAGAGAAGTGAATACCTTTTAACGCAGTACCGGCCATGCTGCCTCCTTGTGTACACACTGTCCCTAACGGACGGTCATGCCTATGGGACCATCTTTCACCTTTTCATCCACGGGAAACTTCTTTCGGATACACTTCAGGGACCGTATACTGTCTCACATTGACTTACCTTCTAAAACAATGTTGTCCTCACATTTGACATACGTAAAGACACTCGCTTAGTCCATCTTGTGAGACCAGCTATATCCTTTGTTTATTCTCTGAATGAAGGGCCCAAAGTATATGAAGAACCAAAGTCCTACGATAGCTCAACTATTCTAGCTAATTTAGAATGATTTATTCCATCTGCTTAAATAAATGTTCTTCCATCTGCTTAATACTGATTATGTTTCTAATACAAATCCCACCCGGCAGGCACCTCACCATCTCAATCGTGTTCGTCAGTCTGGTCAAGGAGTGAACTGTTTTTGGGGTTCCATACGAAATCACCAGTCAATGATCCTGTCCTCCACTCACCAAACGTCAGTCAACCTCTGCCCTTCGCTGCCTCAGGAGACGTGTGGAGTGTTACACCCTGTGTGTTACCACACCATCATTTACCCGCGGAGAAAGAGGCCTTTGCTCTGGTCTCTTTACTGTTCCATCTTCAAGGATACTCATCATCCAGCAAATTCTTCGATGGATCCTCCTTCCTCAGAAACACAGTCTCCACATCTGGAACATTCGGGGGCGGGGATAACATCTTTGCAGTTGTCCTCTCCCAAGAATCATCTTCCCCAAAAAACTCCTGACTGATCCGTCGAGAACTCTTATCCATGTTCCCTCACTGTGCTAGACATACCGGGGAGGTGTGATGAGATGAGACGACCAGTCATCCAAATTGGACCCATTTACACCCTGATATCTGTTCCTGTGTCGGTTGACCATTATTAACTTGACAGTTTTTGTTTTGTTTTTCTATTGTCATTCATGTCGAGTGTTCATCTTGGTCACAACAGCTAAGTGGTGGTCTTGGGTCACATTATTTTTTGTCACATTTATTTGGAATATTTGTGCATTTCTCAGTTATTTTCGGTGCAGGGATTAATGTTGTTTAACTTAAAGCACTTTTCATTTATGATATTATTTCTTTATTATCACTTACTTACTCACTATCAATTATGTTTCTAAATTAATATAATTAAAAAAAATAATCTTAAATTGTTTTATCTATCTCTCTTATTAAATTTTCTCAATTCACTGATATAGGAAATAAAACTAAGAGGTTAATTAAGCTTAATTATAAGTTAAAGGGACTTTTCATCTTCTAAGTGTGTTGATTAAGAAACTTCTCTACTACAAAAAGCTCTCTTGTTAATCAAACCCCTAGACAACAGCCAATAAATCCAGAAGTCATGCAGTATCTTCAGTCACGTAACAATATATTGTTTATACCAGAAGATGTGCACCCACAACATATATCAACAGAAAATACAAATATACAAATAAGAAATTTATGCACTGTATCTACAGTATCTCTTCTACATTACAAACCCTAAAACTATCTCACAGTGTATCTCTCTACTGTTTATACTACATGATCGCGTGGACATCTGGACTGATTTACATTCTCAGAGGAGACGGGAGTGCCAGAAGAGTCGTATACACCCTTAAGAGCATCGCTGTGTCGTCAAATTAACTTGAAAAATTCTTAAGTTTCAGCAGATACAGTTTCCGAAAGTCGGTAATGAAGCGTAAACATCTGCCTCTGTAATTGCAAGTATGTGAAACTCCTTGAATCGCAAGATTAATATTGGCGATCGTCCAGATGAGATGACGAAGACGCCAACTAAGGTATAGTCACTTACAAGGTCTAAGTCCACCGAATAAGAGACGTGCGCACGCAGGTGTATATGGGTATATGTGGGCGGGTCTGTGTGTATATATATATATATGTTAACAACTTGTCTTGGCTGACTACTCTAGTGATCCAACAGCATCAGGATCACACCGAGTGTAAGTAGCAGAATCAGATCCTCTCTTTAAGAAACTGTATAACTCTGAGATTTGATTTACTGGTTTTCTAAGAGTCGGCATAGACATTGGTCCCTCCAAGAGCTCTAAGAAGTTCAGTGATAGACATGATCCATTTGCAACAAGCGATTTTTTTGGCAGATTTTCTTTCTTAAGATTTCCACAAACAGCTTCGGTCATATTAGAGCTTTCAGAGGAACTTCACATAATGAGTTTAGGTGATTGTACAAGGCAACATCCGGTGGCCTAGTGAGGACATAGTGACATTGTATCAATAAGGCGGTGCATCAGAAAGTCTTATCGATCTCTTATTAATTAGGACAAGTGAGAAGTTTCCATAGTTTCAGGGCGTAAATGACACAACGGAAAAGTCGTCAAATTAGAATAATATTACTGTTGTAAGTTATCAGATTATGGCTTCGCATAATTTTCATCATTTTGAAAATATGTGTGTGTGTGTGTGTGTGTGTGTGTGTGTGTGTGTGTGTGTGTGTGTGTGTGTTTAGTCTTAGTGTCGTCCGTCAGCTGTTTGTCCGTGTCGTCACTGCCTCTCTCTCTCTCTCTACGGTAACAATGTTCTCCCTCACTCAGACAACATGAAGGCCTGGATCTTGACAGCGCTGTTAGGGGTGTCCCTGGCCAGTGTTCGCCCGCCCATGGGGGTGAGTTGATCACTTGATTGATTAATTAAGAACTAATAGAAGTGAGAACACATTTAACGGCGTTTATTTTATCTTAACATTAATTTAACATAATTCAATTAGCCTTAAGTAGTATCTTGTAATTTATCCTAATATGCTCAAACTATCTAACTTAACCTATCTTAGAGATATCTTGACCTTATCTAACCTCACCGAACTCAGTGACCTAACCTAACCTAAACTTATCTGACATAACCTAACCCAGCCTACAGCGTTCCACTCTAGTTTGCTCATCTCATTTTAATCGATGACCTTGGTTGATCAATTTGGTTGACCACTTTGGTTGATCACTTTGGTTGATCACCTTGGTTGATCACCTCCCCTTTGCCTCAGGTGGTGAGGCTCCAGTACAGTGACCCTCAGACAGACGACCTGATAGATCTGGATGTGTCCATCAACACTGTAGACGACACAGTGGCTTTCCATATGAGGGGACAATATAGCATGGAGGATGTTGACAACCTCGAGGACTACAGAGCTGTGAGTGCCTCTCTCTCTCTCTCTCTCTCTCTCTCTCTCTCTCTCTCCCTGATCATGTTTAATGTTATTTTCTTCACTTCAGATATTTTTTATAGTCTTACATCAGCACTAACTCGTCTTATATAAGTATATAAGCTCTACCTATACTATTAATCAAGTGTTACATCATTATGACCTTGTTTCATAACATACTTCAGTATATTTTGGTGTTACAAAACTGTTGTGTTACAGGGATGGGGAGCCAGTAAGGTGTTGGTAGACGAGGCTTGTTACCTTCGTAAGTTGAACACGTCACTAAACGACACCATTGATAGACTCCACGAGGTAAGTTCACCATTATTTCTCTTATTATTTTTGTTGGTGTTTATCTTTTTCTTCGTTTATTTATTCTCCTGTTTTTAAAAGAAGCAGAAAACCTCTTAAATGTTTTCAAAAATTATGATAAAAGGTTCACTGTGTGTGTGTGTGTGTGTGTGCGTGTGTATGTGTGTATGTATGTGTGTGTGTTACAGTGTAATCACAAAGTATAAAATGTCACTCTGCCCCCAAATTCAATACCTTGCTAAATTCGAATCCTTGAACTAACACTTAAACATATCACAATTATGGGTCACATTAGAGGGTTCACAATATTAAGAATTTACCCTGTACTGTATTGCACTACAGATGGTTTTCGTGTCCCATGGGGGAAGCTGGTTTTGTTATATATGACCAAAGTCTTAACATCTGTACCTTTAATGTTAAGTCTTGGAGATGATTTATTATTAAAGATAAGAAATGTCCCTGACAGATTCAAGAGAAATGTTAAATGACAAACATATAATGTTATATGTACTTTTGTTAATAACAGGTAAAACCGTTCTCATTTCATCTTGCTGTTCTTGACAGGTAAAACACTTCTAATCTTTACTCACTGCCAGTTATCTAGCCGAGGAGTGCAGCATATGGAGGGAACTCTAGATATCTCTGCTATTCCCGCTGAGGATGTGGAAGACTGGGCTGGGAAACGCCTTCGAGATTTCTGTGGTGATTATACGATGTACCAACTAGTGGTTTCTGAGGGCGAGGAAACAGGTGAGTCTCCCTCTGATACAAATGTTCAATAATACGTTTTCTTTCATTCAGTTGTTCCAAACTTCAGTGATAAAGCGTTCATCTAACACGGCAAGGGTCCAAGGTTGGTTTCCCAATCTTGAGTGTAGAATTGTGTTCCTGCCTCGAGTATATTAACCCTTGGGCATTAACTTATAAATGAGTATACCATCGGGTAGGCTTGTCTATGGTGGAAAGACTCTCTCAGTTAATGACTCAATTGGTCAGTCAATAACCTAGTATTTTAGCCAGTTAGTCAGAGAGTCACTCTATTAGTTAATCATTTAAGCTAACCTAAATTAACCTAACCTAACGTAACCTAACCTAACCTAACCTAACCTAACCTAACGCAACCTAATCTGACTATAAATTACTTACAGCTCTGGCGGAAGAGGGAACTGAAGAGAGGTTTTTCTGGCTTCCATTTAGGAGGTGTTACTTTTTCTTTTTTTGGTTTAGATGTATTACCATAACCATAATCATCCCTACCGGCGTCACCTTCTTCTTCTTCTTTGGGTAAGAGGTCTGTTGTCTTCCACCTTAGAGTTAAACACATGGTTGATGGTGATAACAGCTTATACTTTAACTACTGAATTGATGCGGTGGAAATTCTGGTGCTAACTTTATTTAATGAAGTAAACGACCCAAAAACCGAATGCTTAAAATACTGGTAAGAATCTCCTTTAAGTGAGAGAATTGAATCTTTTTTAACAACAATTAAACCATGTATGTACTAAAGTGGCGAGATATTGTATGTAACTATATACTACTACTACTACTACTACTACTACTACTACTACTACTACTATTACTACTACTACTACTTCTACTACTACTACTACTAATAATAATAATAATAATGTCTATTCTGCTCTTGTATAATGAAAAAATACCTTTACTATTTTCTTGTGAGACATATTACATATACTGTACAATTATAACTTTAAGTGGAACAAGCTAAGAAACTGTGTTAAGTAATCTTACGTAGTGTGTATTGAGCATATGTGAAAAAATGGCCCTATTGTTTATGTGAACAAATGTTGTACATATATAGATATATATATATTGTTGCTTATGTTAATATATTCATGATCTTTTAATAAAAATCTGCTTGAAGAAAATCTTGCTGTTTTAATGCCCTACACTTCTGGTGCGAGGAGTGACCCTTCTGTTGGGTTAAGGAGGAGGAATTAATTCGTTCCTGATGGTGTACATCCTGAATTTTTGTCCAATGGGATGAGGCGGCTGGCCGTTACAGCTTGTAGGTTCTTGCAGGAGGAGGTTGCCAGCTTTCTTGAAAGGGCGGCAATGGCGTTGCTAAGTTCGCTCGCTGCAGTGTCGGACTTATTACTAATGAGAATGACTCTTCATCCACTGGCATCCAGGCCTGATGGGTCTTCAATGTTTTTTCCAAACCATCTCTCCTGTTCTTTTCTCGAACATAATTGTGTTTGGCGGGCCATAATCACCCTATATCCTGATGTCTTCAACTTCGCTTGCACGGTTTTTTTCTTTCACAAGCTTCATGGTCTTTGTTTATTGATAACGATCCACCTCAAGACTCCTCTATGAGAGATATTATTGCCGAGGTCACTTTTCTAGCGCGCATCTTGTTACCAAAGTGTCTGGCTGCATCATCAGAGCTTTGCCTTCTGTCCCCTGAAAAAATCAGTCTATCCTGCAGTATTTATGCCTCTTTTAAGAGATCCTCAAGATCCCCTTTTTTCCCACCTTGTTTATATTTTCTTCATTGCTGCCACAATCTCCTTATGTTTGCTTTTGAGTTTTTTCTGGCAGAAGAGACGGAGTATTATGGCCAGTATTTGGAGAGGTAATGGGGCCAGGGAAGGGTAGTTATATACAATGTGTTTCATCTCCTTGATCATTTCTTTGGTGGTCCCATCCTAACCCAACAACCCAACCTAACCCAACAACCCAACCTGTTGGGTTGTTGGGTTGTTACTCGTACATTAACCGTGACGGCAGGACCAACCTTCAAGCTTAACTGGACTTATTTGTACCCATATGCGTCTCTGTGCCGATAGTGAAGATTCTTAGCAGGAAAACATTCATACTAAGTCACCATTTACCAATAACTTATCAACTTTTATCAGTCGTTTCAGAGATCTCCTCCGGGTCACAGGTCAGCTAGGTCATACAGGGGCAGCTAAGTGGTGCACATTAGGTCTTAATTATTTTCTTACTTTTGTTGTATTATTTTTTATTATTTTGGTACAAATATTTACTTTGTTAAATTTTTGGTGCCATATATTTATTACAACTGGCTAAACTAACTACTTACCGTGTGATATTTTTTATCTTAATATAATTTTAATTTTTACTTCCATTTGTTCTATTCCCCTTAGAACAATGTTGACAATTTAATGACACAACCACACAAATTACAAATATACAAATAGTAAAGTTATACACACCACATCTTCATAGTCTCTCCTATATTACACCCGCCAAAACTATCCCACAGTATATCTTTATGCTGTCTCTCTCATTATTGACTGTCAAGGACACCTGAACCTATCAAATTCCTCAGAGAAAACTGCATACTCAGAAGAGTCTTATACAGCCTTCAAAACATTGTTGTGTCGTCAAATTCACTTGGAAATTCGTAAAAGATCAGCAAGTACAGTTTCCGAAAGTCGGCAATGAAGCGTGAACATTCTCTTTCATAAGTTTACAAAATATGTGAAACTCGTTGAATCACTAGATTGATTGGCAATCGTGCGCACGCAGGTGCATGTGGGTGTAGGTGGGCGGGACTCTGTGTATATATACTGTATGTGAGCAACTTGTCTTGGCTGACGACTCTAGTGATCCAACCGCATCAGGATCACACCGAGTGTAAGTAGTAGAATCAGATCCTCTCTTTAAGAAACTGTATAACTCTGAGATCGATTTACCGATTTTCTAAAAGTCGACATCGACATTGGTCCCTCCAAGAGCTCTAAGAAGCTCCATAATCCTCATGATCCAAAAGTAACTAACGATTTATTGGCCGGTTTTCTTTCATTAAAGTTCCACAAACAGCTTCAGCTAATAAGAATGACGAGAGCTTTTAAAGATACTTCACATGTTCGAGTTTAGGTGAATGTACGAGGCACCTTCCAGTGGCCACGTGGGGACATACTGTAGCGAAAATATTTACGATGCACCTACATTGCATCATCAATTCGGTGAGTAAACTTCCAAAGTTTCAGGGCGTAAATTACACAACGGAAGAGTCGTCAAATTATAATAATGTTACTGTTGTAAGTTATCAGAGTTCTAGCTGATGGGTCTTGTTGCTAGGGTGTGTGTGTGGGTGGGTGTTGGGTGATACTGGGATGTGTGTGTGTGTGGTGATGCTGGAGTGCAGGAAGAGACGGGAACAAACCAAATACAGCAGATATTTCGTGCTTTGCTGGGGATGTTCATTAAGTATCACAACAGAGAGAGCGAGTGATTGACGCCGGAAGAAAGGAAAGTTCATGTCTGCTTTTGTCTCAAGCCACCCAACGTTATAGAGGCGAAAATATTGATAAAAGTGTCAAGAAAATCCTTCGGGTAAAATACATCTAATAATGCTTGATGAAGTATTATTTACATTACCTCGGGAATATACCGTAGTGGAAATTATTATTGGTTGCTGTATATACTGGTACGTGTTGATGATTCCCAAGGCAGTTCCTCGGTACACTGATAATACCGACGGCGTATTTAAGCGACAACACAAAAGACAAAATTGTTTATGACTTGATTATAAAAATGTCCGCTGATGGCTTACAACACTGAGGTGAAAAATAAATGCGATAATTTCTTTAACCGGATTAAGTATAAGCACGAGAGTGAACACAACGAGACTATCATAAGAGAGCCATTTCTTTTAAACACTTTGAACCGAATTTCTTATTACAGTTCCTCACATCGTTCAGTCATATTGCCATTCTTTGTTTGTCCTAGTGTCTGCCGTCCCCACCAACATCTCTCTCTCTCTCTCTACGGTAATAATGTTCTCCCTCACTCAGACAACATGAAGGCCTGGATCTTGGCAGCGCTGTTAGGGGTGTCCCTGGCCAGTGTTCTCCCGCCCATGGGGGTGAGTTGATCACTTGATTGATTAATTAAGAACTAATAGAAGTGAGAACACATTTAACGGCGTTTATATTACCTTAACATTAATTTAACATAATTCAATTAGCCTTAAGTAGTATCTTGTAATTTATCCTAATATGCTCAAACTATCTAACTTAACCTATCTTAGAGATATCTTGACCTTATCTAACCTCACCGAACTCAGTGACCTAACCTAACCTAATCTTATCTGACATAACCTAACCCAGCCTACAGCGTTCCACTCTAGTTTGCTCATCTCATTTTAATCGATGACCTTGGTTGATCAATTTGGTTGACCACTTTGGTTGATCACTTTGGTTGATCACCTTGGTTGATCACCTCCCCTTTGCCTCAGGTGGTGAGGCTCCAGTACAGTGACCCTCAGACAGACGACCTGATAGATCTGGATGTGTCCATCAACACTGTAGACGACACAGTGGCTTTCCATATGAGGGGACAATATAGCATGGAGGATGTTGACAACCTCGAGGACTACAGAGCTGTGAGTGCCTCTCTCTCTCTCTCTCTCTCTCTCTCTCTCTCTCTCTCCCTGATCATGTTTAATGTTATTTTCTTCACTTCAGATATTTTTTATAGTCTTACATCAGCACTAACTCGTCTTATATAAGTATATAAGCACTACCTATACTATTAATCAAGTGTTACATCATTATGACCTTGTTTCATAACATACTTCAGTATATTTTGGTGTTACAAAACTGTTGTGTTACAGGGATGGGGAGCCAGTAAGGTGTTGGTAGACGAGGCTTGTTACCTTCGTAAGTTGAACACGTCACTAAACGACACCATTGGTAGACTCCACGAGGTAAGATCACCATTATTTCTCTTCTTATTATTTTCGTTGTTGTTGTTGGTATTGCTGTGACAGTACCCGACTCTCTGCTAGGTGGTGTTGTGTTATATCGTGGTCAGGTGTAAAGCTGACCAACGGTTGTTCCCAGGTTGGACTGACTTACACCTGGTGAGGAGATGGTGGTCGGCTCCCAGGGGTGTTTATCTCTGGGTGAGGACTTCACTGGTGGGCGTGACGGTCAGCTTAGTCAAGACTCTCGGTTGCTACTGTCTAGTACTGAGTTCACTGTCCTATCACTGTTCATCACAGGTCAACACTGATTCCACTCCCTTTCGTAGCGAAATTGTCACTTTTGGCTGGATTATATTGACATCCCGGTGGGGAGTTGAGGGGAGGGAGTTGGAGTATAGGCCAACTATTGGTCCTGGCAGTACAATCTAGAACTAAGAGATATTAAGAACTTACTCTGTTACAATACAGGGTAAATCCTTGCACTACTAGTTTGACTGCAAGGTGACACGGCAGATGGTTTTGTTATATATGACCAAAGTCTTAACATCTGTACCTTTAATGTTAAGTCTTGGAGATGATTTATTATTAAAGATAAGAAATGTCCCTGACAGATTCAAGAGAAATGTTAAATGACAAACATATAATGTTATATGTACTTTTGTTAATAACAGGTAAAACCGTCCTCATTTCATCTTGCTGTTCTTGACAGGTAAAACACTTCTAATCTTTACTCACTGCCAGTTATCTAGCCGAGGAGTGCAGCATATGGAGGGAACTCTAGATATCTCTGCTATTCCCGCTGAGGATGTGGAAGACTGGGCTGGGAAACGCCTTCGAGATTTCTGTGGTGATTATACGATGTACCAACTAGTGGTTTCTGAGGGCGAGGAAACAGGTGAGTCTCCCTCTGATACAAATGTTCAATAATACGTTTTCTTTCATTCAGTTGTTCCAAACTTCAGTGATAAGGCGTTCATCTAACACGGCAAGGGTCCAAGGTTGGTTTCCCAATCTTGAGTGTAGAATTGTGTTCCTGCCTCGAGTATATTAACCCTTGGGCATTAACTTATAAATGAGTATACCATCGGGTAGGCTTGTCTATGGTGGAAAGACTCTCTCAGTTAATGACTCAATTGGTCAGTCAATAACCTAGTATTTTAGCCAGTTAGTCAGAGAGTCACTCTATTAGTTAATCATTTAAGCTAACCTAAATTAACCTAACCTAACGTAACCTAACCTAATCTGACTATGAAATACTTACAGCTCTGGCGGAAGAGGGAACTGAAGAGAGGACTTTCTGGCTTCCATTTAGGAGGTGTTACTTTTTCTTTTTTTGCTTTAGATGTATTACCATAACCATAATCATCCCTACCGGCGTCACCTTCTTCTTCTTCTTTGGGTAAGAGGTCTGTTGTCTTCCACCTTAGAGTTAAACACATGGTTGATGGTGATAACAGCTTATACTTTAACTACTGAATTGATGCGGTGGAAATTCTGGTGCTAACTTTATTTAATGAAGTAAACGACCCAAAAACCGAATGTTTAAAATACTGGTAAGAATTTCCTTTAAGTGATATTTCTTAATAATTAGAATTGAATCTTTTTTAACAACAATTAAACCATGTATATACTAAAGTGGCGAGATATTGTTATGTATAATATATTGATGGATTTTCAATATAATTACTACTACTACTACAACTACTACTACTACTACTACTACTACTACTACTATTACTACTACTACTACTACTATTACTAATAATACTAATACTAATAATAATAATAATAATAATAATAATAATGTCTATTCTGCTCTTGTATAATGAAAAAATACCTTACTTATTTTCTTGTGAGACATATTACATATACTGTACAATTATAACTTTAAGTGGAACAAGCTAAGAAACTGTGTTAAGTAATCTTACGTAGTGTGTATTGAGCATATGTGAAAAAATGGCCCTATTGTTTATGTGAAGAAATGTTGTACATATATAGAAATATATATTGTTGCTTATGTTAATATATTCATGATCTTTTAATAAAAATCTGCTTGAAGAAAATTTTGCTGTTTTAATGCCCTACACTTCTGGTGCGAGGTGACCCTTCTGTTGGGTTAAGGAGGAGAATTAATTCGTTCCTGATGGTGTACATCCTGGTTGTCCAATGGGATGGGCGGCTGGCCGTTACAGCTTGTAGGTTCTTGCAGGAGGAGGTTGCCAGCTTTTTCTTGAAGGGCGGCAATGGCGTTGCTAAGTTCGCTCGCTGCAGTGTCCGGACTTATTACTAATGAGAATGACTCTTCATCCACATCCAGGCCTGATGGGTCTTCAATGTTTTTCCGACCACCATCTCTCCTGTTCTTTTCTCGAACATAATTGTGTTTGGCGGGCCATGATACTATGTCCTGATGTCTTCGCTTCGCTTGCACGGTTTTTTTCTTTTTCCTGGCTTCATGGTCTTTGTTTGTTGATAACGATCCACCTCAAGACTCCTCTATGAGATAATATTGCCGAGGTCTTTTCTAGCGCGCATCTTGTTGTTACCAAAGTGTCTGGCTGCATCATCAGAGCTTTGCCTTCTGTCCCTAGAAAAAAATCAGTCTGTCCTGCAGTATTTATGCCTCTTTTAAGAGATCCTCAAGATCCCGTTTTTCCCCACCTTGTTTATATTTTCTTCATTGCTGCCACAATCTCCTTATGTTTTGCTTTTGGGTTTTTCTGGCAGAAGAGACGGAGTATTATGGCCAGTATTTCAGGAGAGCAATGGGGCCAGGAAGGGGTAGTTATATACAATGTGTTTCATCTCCTTGATCATTTTCTTTGGTGATTCGTCTAACCCAACAACCAACCCTAACCCAACAACCTTCTTAACAACCCAACCTGTGCGGAGTTTGTTGAGTTATTACTCATTTCTGATAACCGTGACATGGGACCAACCTTCAAGCTTAACTTTGGACCTATTTGTGCCCATATGCGTCTCTCTGTGCCGAGAGTGAAGATTCTTAGCAGGAAAACATTCATACTAAGTCTACATTTACCAATAACTTATCAACTTTTTTATCAGTCGTTCAGAGATCTCCCCGGGTCCTGAGCCAGCTACTGGGTCATACAGGGGCAGCTAAGTGGTGCACAATGGAGTCTTAATTATTTTCTTACTTTTGTTGTATTATTTTTATTATTTTGGTACAAATATTTACTTTGTTAAATTTTTTTGGTGCCATTTATTTAATACAACTGGCTAAAACTAACTACTTACCGTGTGATATTTTTTTATCTTAATATAATTTTTAATTTTTACTTCCATTTGTTCTATTCCCCCTTAGAACAATGTTGACAATTTAATGACACAACCACACAAATTACAAATATACAAATAGTAAAGTTATACACACCACATCTTCATAGTCTCTCTATATTACACCCACCAAAACTATCCCCACAGTATATCTTTATGCTGTCTCTCTCATTATTGACTGTCAGGACACCTGAACTATCAAATTCCTCAGAAAACTGCATACTCAGGAGTCTTAAGCAACCTTCAAAAACATTGCCGTCATTCACTTGGAAATTCGTAAAGA